TTAGATACCAGTAGCTCTACGGCCTCCAACTCTGTAACACATCGTTCATTGATTTTGCTACATCCTTGCTGCCCACATTTATTGTTGGCTAACGGCGATGAGTAAACTGAAAACGTTTGTTCGCCAGAATAAAACAGAGTCATTGTGTTGTTTATGATCCGTACTCTCAGTGACAAATTGTCGTCGATACCAAGTTTGATCAAGACCCACTAACCTAAATTGCTGGTAGGAGACACGTACCATCTATTTTCATGAAAAAACAACACCCCCCCCCTCCCCCCAACAAAAAAGGACCCAAAAACACTCCCCCCCCCCCACCCCTCACTAACCAAAAAAAAAAAACAAACAAAACATAAAACAAAAGTACTACCAAACAAACTACACAAACTGATACTAAATCGTTTCTTCCAAGTCTTAAAGTTAAACATGAGAAAAATATCACTTGTAGCTCTCTAATAATAAATAGTCTTCAAACAATAATGACTACTGTAGGTTGCACTAGCACTCTTTCGGGAGCAATCAAATGTTCCGTCACAAAACTTTGGAATTTAAAGCACTCTACACTCTGTATGTGCACTTCAAAGTGTGACACGGTCCATCGCCTGCCAAGATGCCACAGTTGTCAAAAGAAGAAAAAACCAGCCATCATAGTTTTTTTGTTTTTTATTTGTTTTTGTTTCTTTAAACTTTCACCGGCGCCTGTTGTGTAGCGGTTAGGCACTTCTCTATAACACTCAGAAGACCTGACTTCGATTCCCGAGTTGGGAGAATGTTTTCATCGGGAACCTGATAGAGGTGGGCAAAATCCGAATAATCTATAAGGATAACTGGATAATTCTCAATGAAACATTATCCGAACTCAGACTCTTAACTCTCTTTCATGACCCATTTGCCGAAGTGGGCGCACCCATTAGTTGAAGTTCTGCTAACCCTTTTCTCGAAGTGGTTCTAAGCCACTTGCCGAAGCGGTTCATATCACAATATTATTTGCCGAAGAGGTGCACTAACATATTAGCCGGATTTTGCCAAAGCGACTCATTGCCCAGCCCTAGTACCTGATGGCCTTTCTGGTGGAATAGTGTATCCCCCCCCCCCCAAGCCTGGGCTGACCTTGAAAGGCATGGTCGAAGCCAGCCTCCTAAATTATCAAAATTATTTCGATTTGAGCCTTAAACTTCCGTATAGCATGGCATATTGGCATCCTATTGCGCCATAGCCGACAGATACTATTGTGCGATTAAAAATTCGTGACGCATCTTTTTGTCCCATATATTATTTCCTCAACTATCAAACATAAACTCTCCAGCTTTTGCTCGGTGGCTTGTATTAATTTGTCTTAACAGATCAATATTTTTGTAAACACTTGTTAGCTGTATTCTAGATAATTCCTTTTTTGAAAAATACTAATTTAAACATTCCAGTTTCTACAGTTTTTAAAAGGTTTACAACTGGGACAATATATTTTTCTAATTGCGACATTATGCTTATTAAATGCATGTTTTGAGAACTTCTAGTGCAAAAGTTTTCAATAGAAAATGAATTTCAGCATGTTTTGCCACTAAAAAGTGTCATTGGTGAGCTGTGATGTAGGCAATATGCGTGTGTGAAAAGCGGGAAGTGCCGTGAGCAATGTCATTTTCCGCGTGACGGAGATTAATAATATTTTTTATAAATTCACGAAGAAAGGTTTTTGATTTAGCCTCAATTTGTTGTGGAAAATGATTATGAGTTGACAAATTGATACAAACTGTTGTGCAAAGTATGGGTGTCACTGATTCCCCTGTTAAAGAGATACTTGAGGATAAGTTTCGCCATGAATTCATGACGCACTAAAAAAAAAAAGAGCGTAAATCTAATTTCAGCAACAAAAAGAAAGGACACCCCCCCCCCTAAAAAAGAGAATAAACAAAAGTAAAACAATAAATAAACATTTAAAAAAACAACAAATAAAAATAAAACTCAAGCAAAGTAGAAAGAAAAACCAGCAGCAACAACAAAAATCCTCCTCCTCCTCCTCCTCATCATCATCATCATCATCATCATCATCATCAGCAGCAGCAGCAGCTACAGAAGTATCATCATCATTATCATCATCATCATCATCATCATCATCATCATCATCATCATCAACATCATCATCATCATCATCATCATCATCATCATCATCATCATCATCATCATCAACAACAAAAACAATAACGTAACCATACAGACCTGCCATAGAAGTGACCCCGGTGCAATTCTCCGCCTCAGGTGTGTCAGAGTTCTCGGTCGTGATTGGATCCATTGGGGTTGTCTCTCCTGAAGAGGACAAATGAAAATTTTGTGTGGCGTCGTAGTGAAATTCTGATCAGGCGGGTGTCAAAATAATCAAATCAAAGAAACCGACATTTTTAAGCCTGTTGAACGATTTTCATTGATTTTTAATTATTTTTTAAAATATCTTTTTTGGAGGGGTTCCACATCTTTTACGTTCATTTCAAAACACATTTCTGTGCATATTTTACCGAGAACTGTTGATCAAAGGCACACATAAAAATGCAGATTTGCAGTTTCCAAAGACGCTCAAGCTTTGGTAGTCGCCGAACTTTCGCAGCCCATTTCCCGCTCTGACACAAGACGACCTCCATCTTCTTTGATAAAAAATAGACAAATAAACGAGTTCTGAGGCGATACAAGCCATCAACTCCATTTGCCCAAAAACTGACGATCGCCTGATTCCTTTGTTTCGCGATACAAGCAATAATATGTTCACGGCTTGTGATTTGCAAATACCATCGAACTAATACTCGAACAATGTCTCAGCAAATTATTCCCTGTTCTATTAATTACTTATATAAATAGACATTTTGGAATATGTCTGAAATATGTTATTATTCACCCCCAGGCACCTGGTTTATTAGACTGTGGTGAGGCGGTTATGCGCTTCGCCGTTGCATACAGGAGACCCCAAGTCGATCTTCACGAGTGGGGTGAATTTTTATCGAGGATCTCGGTCTTTCTCCTGGGACGTTGTATTACTCTTAGACTGGGTTCACCCAGATAGGTTGGGTCAAAGCCTGCCTCCCAATTGATCGAAACAGTGTCAATGCGTGCGTAAAAACACCTCACTGGGAGAACACAAAACGTCCGCAGTCTCACTAACAGCAGAATTAATAACGCAACCCCCCCCTAAAAAAACAACAACAACAACAAACAACAAACAACTAAGGTTGTGATGGTACTAATGCGCTACATGCTTTGTTTGTTTATTTTTGTAAAGAGAAGAATGGTTATTTTTATCTTGGGAGAAAGTAAGACAGACAGACAAAAACAACAGAGGGAAAGTTTAGAAGTAGAGGCACCAGCCATCCATATCCTATTGCTAGTTTCGCCCAAGCCGACCTTGCAAAGTCATATTTAAAATAAATTACGTAGAAGTCAAGGTCGGCCTTCAAACTGGCGTTGCGTTCAGAATGGTTGACTCATACAGATAGCCAATTTTGATTAAATTTTAATATTTGCAAAACGCATAGATCAGTGCTGGCGAACCTGGGCTATATCACCCACTAATTGGGGATTTTGGTAATTTTGGTGGGCAGTGAGTAGTCATAGGCATTACCCCCGTTTGAAGATTTGGAAATACATGTTTGGTTAGAGGTACGAACATTTTAGCCTCTTAATGGGGGCAAAAGTGGGTACAGGCTATAAAAAAGTTGACAAGCACTGGTATAGTTAATATTGCAAGAAGAGAGCAAAAGCATACCTCCAGCGCAAACCTTGAGATAGACTGTGGCATCAGCTTCGTCTACCAAATAAGTGTCCGGTTGCAGGATGAAGTCATGGCGTTCTGCACTCGTATACAGGCTGCATTCATCTCCGAAAACTCATTTGGAGAGAAAAAAAATATTGTTGAAATTTCAAGCCCACATCAAAACTATTTAGATCATTCAGGAGTCGGGCTGCTTCGACCATGCCTATCAGGACCAATCATATTGAGATGGATACAGCGTCTAGAAGAAAGACTGAGATCCTCAATGCAAATTTTCCCCACACGGGAATCGAACTCACGCCTGCTGCATGCGACAGCGGAGCACATAACCGAAACACCACGGACGCTGATAATGATTCGGAGCAGAAAATGGAGGTACAATATAGATGGATGCTTACTTTTATGTGTTCATTTATACGTGTGTGTGTGTGTGTGTGTGTGTGTGTGTGTGTGTGTGTGTGTG